TAGCAAATATTTAGGAAATGGGTTGGTATTTTCTCCAATGGGGAAAAGTGGGTTTTGGGGGGAATATTTTAAAGAAATCTATTTTTAGAATGCTAATTTTAAAGTGATTTAGAGTAGATTCTCAAAACCAGAAAGGACAAGAGAGGGAGATTTCTAGTTCAGATAACAGAAATAAAGATGTCATAATAGACAAGGAATGGGAGAATCTGCCTAGAAAAATAAATGAGGACTTAAGCTAATTTAGTAGACAACTTTGGGGAGAAAACATGAAAGGAGATTTTAGGAAAATTTTCCCAAAATATAAAAGCATGCTTAAGTTAAGATACTTAGAGTACTTAAAATTGCTTGCATTATCTTATTTTGTTAATGGAAATGGTATTTCTGTCATTTATAAAAATGAATAACTGCACACTTAAAAAAAAACTAGGAAGCAAGATGCTTATCTATTTAAAAATACTCCCTTTGAAGAGTTTAGTGGATTTTTGAACACACTTTTTACAAATATTTTAATTTGGGGGCACCTGTGTGGTTCAGTCAATTAAGTGTCCGACTTCGGCTCAGGTCATGATCTCGCAGTTCATGGGTTCGAGCCCCTCGTCAGGCTCTGTGCTGACAGCTAGTCCAGAGCCTGGAGCATGTTTCAGATTCTGTGTCTCCCTCTCTCTCTGACCCTCCACTGGTCATGCTGTTTCTCTCTCTCTTTCCCTCTCTCTCTCTCAGAAATAAATAAACAGAAATGTTTATTTTTGACAGAAGACAGAGAGTCAGCAATGAAGGGGCAGAGAGAGAGGGAGACACAGAATCCGAAGCAGGCTCCAGACCCTGAGCTGATAGCACAGAGCCTGACATGGGGCTCAAACTCACTAACCGTGAGATCATGACCTGAGCCGAAGTCAAACGCTTAACTAACTGAGCCACCCAGGCGCCCGAAAACAACTAATTAATGTCATAAAAGATGGAAATTCACTAACCCCATTTCAGAAAGTCATTTGCATATTTGGTGGATGAGATTTAAAAATGAATGTTGTATAAATGATTTTATAAAAATTTATTTATTTTAATGTTTATTGAGTTTTGAGAAAGAGAGAAAAAGACAGAGTGTGAGTGGGGAGGAGCAGAGAGAGAGGGAGACACAGAATCCAGAGCAGGCTTCAGGCTCTGAACTGTCAGCACAGAGCTTGATGTGGGGCTCATGAACCACGAGATCATGACCTGAGCTGATTCTGTTGCTTAACCGACTGAGCCACCCAGGTACCCCTTGATGAATTTATTTTTTTAAACTTTTATCTTTTACTTTTTAATGACGGTATCACAAAATATCAAACCAAGCTTTTCAAAAATAATGCATATTCTAATCATAAGTGTACATAAAATGTTGGTGAGAAAAATATTTTTGCACAATTTTAAAATGAAAGCTATTTTAATTTTTTTTGACATTTATTTATTTTTGAGAGACAGATACCATGCAAGCGGGTATGGCGGGGAGAGAGGGGGAGACACAGAATCTGAAGCAGGCTCCGGGCTCTGAGCTGTGATCCAGCACAGAGTCCGACGACACAGGACTCAAACTCAGGATCTATGAGATCGTGACCTGAGCTAAAGTCAGACACTTAACTGACTGAGCCACAGAGGCACCTCAGAACAAAAGCTATTTTAAATGTTATGTCATGTTTATCTCATCTTTAAAATTTCTTTTCGTGTGGCATGCTGGATATCTTTTAGCATAAAATTCAGAATTTGCCTTACTAATAGAGATGTCTGATAACATTCAGAAATTGCTTTACTGATACAGATGTATGATCAGAATTTTGGAGATCACTTTTATAGAGGAAGAGGCATAAAAACAAGTAAATTTCAGTAAAATATGAAAAGTGCTATCCCAAGTAATGACTGGTAATACACACGGGGAACAAACTGCCTGGAGAAGTTAGTGGAAACTACTGACACGTCCAAAGCTGTGTCTCATTAAGTATAGTTAGGAATTTCTTAGGTGGTTATATCAGACTCTTTAATAAGCCAAAGTAAATGTGACATTTCTCAAATGGTTTTGTATTGGTGAGGTCTGCTTAATTCAGTGATTCATGTTTCAATCAATAAATGTAGGGAAAAGAAATCTATTGTAAGATGAGATGTACAGACGGTGGCTTGTCTAAACTTACTTGTCTAAACTAAGTTCCTACTAGTTCTATTACTATCCCATTTTTTTCTTTTGGGGGTTCTCTAGTCTTGCGCAGGAGAAAAAAATTGCTTAAAATCTCTGTAGTGTTGGTTTTCATTCTGGTCATGGTAAAGAAAATGTTATGTTATAAATACGTAAAGTATCTGTGAAACAGTCTTCTTAAGATGGTCATGCTTCTTTAATAGCCCCAACCATGATATATTGATATACTGTATTCATTTGTTCATACCTCTGAACTCTTTGACGTCAAGGGCATTAGTCATACTTTTGTTTTCATTCCCACATTTTCCTGGCACATACTAGGCATTGGTATGTTTCTTAAACTTAATGATTAAAATTGAGTCTTCATTGGGGTGCCTGGGTGGCTCAGTCAGTTAAGCGCCAACTGTGGCTCAGGTCATGATCTCATTGATCCTGAGTTTGAGCCCTGTGTCGTGCTCTGTGCTGACAGCTCAGAGCCTGGAGCCTGTTTTAGATTCTGTGTCTCCCTCTCTCTCTTCTCCTTACCTACTTGTGCTCTGTCTCTGTCTCTCAACAATAAATAAACATTAATTTTTTAAATTGATTCTTCATGGTAATTTATTTAAACATCATTCACATCAGGTTTGTTTTCAAAGCTATTTTGAAGATTCTTATAAAGGATGTGTAGGCTTATGACTAATAAAATGCAATAAAATATAAATTGAAACTAGCAGGAGGATGCAAAGAGGTTAACTTGAAAAGTAATTGTATACATACTGTATTGTTACATTGAAACCACCACAAGACTTAGTGTCTTAAAACAACAATGATTATTAATTCTCACAAATCTTTGGATTTGCTGGGCTTAGCTAGGTGTATCTTTTTTTTGGTCTTGGGGATCATTCATGCACCTGAAATAATTAGCTCAACTGAGGCTCACTCAGGTGTCTCACTCAGATAGCCTGACTCAGGTCTCTGGGTCCTTGGTGCTTTCTTTTCTGTTAAGCTTTCTCTCTACATGTTCTCTCTTCATTCCATTCTTTAGACTAGACTTCCTTTCATGATGTAGAAGTTTACCAAAAGAGTAAAGGTAGAAGATTTGAGGCCTTTTGAGACCTGGCCTTGGGAACTCATATACCATGACTTCTGCCCTGATCAGAGTTACAAGTCTGGCCCAGGTGCAGAATTGATGAAAATAGACTCTACCTCTTGACAGGAGGATTTATAAAGAATATGTGGTTATATTTAACCTGCCACAGTAGAATATGCATAGTTGTGGAGTATAAAATTTGTTTCTGAGCTGGCTGAAAATTGAGGGAAAATTGAGACATTAAGGTGCTGGCTATCTTAATAAAGAACAAATACCAGAAAGTTCAATTTGTAAAATCCCTTTATTGTTTAACAATACATGCAGATTTTAAGGAATTTGAAAATGCAAAAGAAAATAAAAAGGAATTAAAATGTACTTCAAATCTATCCAGAAATAACCATTTTTAAAGTTGTAAAACATTTCATGTATCTATGCCTATGTTATAGATAGAAGAATGGATAGATGCTTAACTGAGTAAAAGAAATAGCTGTGCAAAACAAGGATAGTACTCTCAAGCTAATACAGATGCATTTTATTTCATTTAAATAGAAAAAGAAGAAAGTGAATGTCAGAGCATCAGACATATTACGTGCTAAATAGAGATCTCTCTCTAAAGTTTAAAAATAAGGAAAATTATAAATTGCAGTCTTATCTTTTACTCTTTTTATTTTAAAATTTCTTAAATTTCTTTAAATTATTAAAATTTCTTAAATTTTGAGAGAGAGACAGAGAGCAAGCAGAGGATGGACAGAGAGGGAGGGAGACACAGAATCCAAAGCAGGCTCCAGGCTCTGAGCTGCCAGCATAAAGCCCAACACGGGGCTTAAACCTACGAACTGTGAGATCATGACCTGAGCCAAGGTCGGACGCTTAACTGACTGAGCCACCCAGACAGCTCTACTCTGTTTTTAATATTTTTTAAAATGTTTTATTTATTTCTAGGAGAGAGAGAGAGAGAGAGAGAGAGGCAGCGTGAGGAGGGGTGGGTCAGAGAGAGAGGGAGTCACAGACTGAAACAGGCTCCAGGCTCTGAGCCGGCAGTCAGCACAGAGCCCGACGCGGGGCTCGAACCCACAAACTGTGAGATCATGACCCAAGCGAAAGTCGGACGCTTAACCGACTAAGCCACCCAGGCACCCCAACTCTGCTCTCTTTTTAAACTTTAGACATGGTTGATTGAACCATTGCTCTGAAAGATCAGGATATTAGCACTATTATATTACCTATCTTCTTCATACCTTCAAGTGTCTGATTTTTATATAATTATAAAAATAAAACTTTGAACAGCATCCAATCTTAACACCAAACTTATTTCACAAACCATTGCAGAGATGTAGAAAGAAAGATAAAATTATCCCAGCCTATCAGACCTGGACAGATTTGAACAGAGAAAAATGGAGAAATCAAAAAACCAGAGTCAATTTATAATCTTTGTTGGAATGCTCTGCTAATCCCTCTGAGATTTTATTAAATATCCAATATTAGACTTTTTATAGTGCTTAATTATATTTCCTGTGTTTCATTTTTTTCATTTATTTTTAAGAATTTGATGCTTCCTTCATTTTCTATACTGCATAAAATAAATACCAAAATAGCAGTGTGTTTTGATCAATAGCTAATCTGTACCATGAATTATGCTTCAGAATTTCGTGTTGATTGCTGAAATAAATCTGTGTTTCTTCACTGGTATATAAGGTATTTGAGTATGTGGATGTTTTGAGTGGGCAGGAAAGTTCTTCTGCATGTGACAATATTATTGTTTTCTTTCAGGAAACCCTGATAGATTGGTGTGATGAAAAGGAACTTAATTTGATATTAACAACTGGAGGAACAGGGTTTGCACCACGAGATGTCACTCCAGAGGTGAGATAGTCTGTGCCTTTCTCATATTCAAGGAGTAGGCAATTCATGTTATTTTTCATCTTTTTTACATGTTTTATATTATTTTTATAATTTTGCTAGGCCAAACAGAACACTTGTGGTTCTAAGAATGTAAAAACTGTGCTGTGGGGCACTGTTAGATAAAAAATGTTTCTTGACTCCTTTTCTTTGGACTTAAGCTAGATATGATATAAAATGAGGAAAACTGAACTGGTCCAGAAGGTAATTTTGCATTTGTTCAGTGAACTGTGATATAAGCTCAACTTCAGGCATATTGCCAAAGGAGGTGGTATCAGAACTCTGACTCTTGTTTAGCATGGCATCTGGTCCAGTATGCTTTGTTAATGTAATTCAAAATGTATCTGATATCTCTGTTCTTGAGATACCCTTGTATTGGTCTCAAAGCACAGGAAATTGCAATAAAATGCGTATACCAAATTTATAGTACTTTGGAAGAGAAAGGGTTACATATTCCATAATTTTAATATGAACTTAGATGCAGAATTTAATAAGCCAAAAGTATTAATATCTAGGCTTTATGCCACAAGAATCACCTTAAACCTTTGCATAAGTAGAAAAAATAGGGGAAAAAATAAAGAGTAGGGAGGGCTCAGTGATACAGGAGAGTCTTTTTTCTTTCTAAGGAAGCTGTAAACCTCAGAGTCATATGCAAACTTATATTACCACTTGTGATATTGTTTCCTTTACTTCCCCAAAAAACTGTTTGCTGGCTGAATTCCAACTTAATATTAAGTATGTCCTCCTATTTTCAAACCTGTACACAACTTTATCTACTGTTTTATTAATAGGAAGATACTTTTGCCCCGCATCTATTATATATTTACCGTCCTTCTTACTCTATGGTAGTAGTTTTCAGACTTTAGCCTGCACCACAGTCGAGCTGAGAATTTGTTAAAACCAGATTATAGGACCCACCTGTAGAGTTTCTTTTTCAGTAATTCTGCAGTGGGTCCCAAGAATTTGTATTTCTAACAAGGCCCCCAGTGATGCAGATGTTTCTGGTCCATAGACCACACTTTCACACTTCGAAAACCACTGTTCTATGATATGAAAATAGACATTTTTTTTAGCAAATTGTAAAGAATTATTTGGATATTATTCTAATTTTAGACTTACAAAAAAAATGGTTTGCTTTTAAAGCAATCAGAATAGAGTTGTATTGGGAAATTGTTAACTTCAGCTGCTTAGAAATCATTCTTACATGATTAGTTTGGCTTCTGAGTCTTAAGGGGAAATGGTCCTTTGTTACATTTCTTTTAAACTGTGAGACCAACTTAAAAAGTTCAATTGGAGGGAAGCCATCTCCTGTAGAGGTGTGTCTATGTTTTGTTTGTAAGAAAATTGTGTGCATATGTGAGGATCTTGATTTTTGGAGTTTGGTTGTTAAATATTTGAAGTAAATGACCTTGGGTTTATATATCCTTGTTTTTATTGTGATGGTTTGATATTTTCATGCTATTTATTTTTATATCAGAAAAACGTAGAAAAAAGTTACTATAGAGTTTATTTATATCTGATAATAACATTATTTTTAATTGGGAGGGAATAATTTGCACACAAAGTTAAGTATTTTGTTTTCTGTGGAGCATCAAGTTAATACCAAAATGCTAGGTTGAAAATTTAAATCTTTGAATTTTGGCTCTGCTGCTTACTAACAGTGTGACCATAGACTAATTACTGAACTACTCTGTGCCTCAGTTTCCTATAAAATGAGGTAAACAAAAGTACCTACCTACTGGGAGCTGTGAGGTTTCAGTGAGAACTATTTCTGGTCTTTTAGTAAGTGCTATATATCCAAGGGTTAGCTTATAAGGGTTAATTTTTTTTTTATTAGTTACTACATAAATACTAGGAGGACAAATTTGGTAGTACTTTTTTGTATGTAACTACCAAATGAACAAAAAGTGTTGTAGTAGATTTAAAGTGTATCCATGAAATCTTTATAATCTTGTTAAATTATTTTTTAAATTTTGATGTAGTAACTAAGCTACGTACTTTATCTCTGTCATCTTCATGTAAAATAGAGGTCTTAAAATTCTACCATCCACTTTTTTTTAGTGCCGTTAGTTGACAAGAGTCTCTTTCCTTTACCTTGTATGTCTCATTACTTCAGAAATTAAGAAACCTTTATCCTTAAATGAAGCCTTTTAGTTAACTTAAAACCTTAGAGGTGTTCTTTTTTTAAATATATTTTTTAATGTCTATTTATTTTGAGAAAGAGAGGGAGAGAGCATGTTCACACACATGCGTGTGTGACCAGGGGAGGGGCAGACAGAGAGGGAGAGAAAATCCTAAGCAGGCTCTGTGCTGTCAGCACAGAACCTGAAGCGGGGCTCGATCCTACAGACCATCAGATCATGATCTGAGCTACAATCAAGAGTCAGTTGCTTAACCAAGTGAGCCATCCAGGTGCCCCTGAGAGGTGCTCTTAAAGTCTTATATGTGCCTATAACAGCTACCTGTGTAGAGCAGTATTAGGGTGTTTTTTTAAACCTGAGTTTAAAATATACATAAATAAGTCTTTTTTTTTTGAGAATAGGTAACTTACCTGATGGTAAATATCTTGATTTTTTAATAGGTTCATTTTACTTCATATCTTTTTTATATATACATATGGTATAATCCATATCTACAGCAAAATCCATAGAACTGTTATGCCTTTGAAAAATAAACAAACATGAAAGCAATGTAGGGCCAACCAAAAATAATTCTACCAATTTCCCATTTTCTCTGAACACGTTAATACTTGCCATTCTTCTGATATCCAAAATACAACACAGGGATATCTGCTAGGAATCCATAAATATAATTTGGGTTCTGTCATAATACAGTTATTTGTCTTTAACTTGTTTGTCTTAGATAGTTGTGCCTGAGAAAAGAAGTAACTTTTTCTAGACTGCATTTAACTATATACAGTTTAGAGTTGCAAAAATTTTTAAATAGTGAGAAGTTAATAGAAAACACATATGTTAATTATTACGACAAAATAATAAAACTTCTCCATTAAAGTACTAATATGTTATAGTCAGTAATTTACAGTAATTAGTTTAATCTGCAAACACAAAGGACAAATGTTTGTAGAATATGTGTGTTGTTAGGGGAAAAAAATGAAGGAAAATGATTAATAGTATGAATGAAATAAAGCAATCTAAACTTAGTGTCAGTGGGTATGAACCCAAGAGAACATGGAAAGTTTATAGACTTGAGTTTCTTTCCAGGTATATTAAAAGAAAAGTGGAATACCAGGCTTACTAAGTATATCCTGTTTCCTTTTTTCATATATAGACATAAGGTAATCAGAATTGTTTTTCCTAAATTATGAGATTGTTTCTATTTTTAGGCCCTGTGGCTTAGAATATGATTCATCTGATATTTACATGCCTGCTGGCCTGCTTCCTGCCTCTAATAAATATGAGATACCATTAAAGCTTATATATAATAGCACAATAATCTACTCCCTTTACCTTTTTAAAGTTTTGATATGAAATCTTTATTTTTTGAGAATAACTTTTATTTTCTCTGATCTGACAAAGGTTGGATAATCTGTTGGTGAAATGCTAGTAATTATAAAATTCTATAGAACTTGAGAATTCAGGAGTGCCTGGGTGACTCAGTCAAAGTGTCAACTCTTGGTTTTGTTTGGCTCAGGTCATGATCTCACAGTTTGTGAGTTTGAGCCCCACATTAGGCTCTGCACTGGTGGCATGGAGCCTGCTTGGGATTCTCTCTGTCTCTCCCTGTCTCCCTCCTTCACTTTCTCTCTGCCACTCCCCTGCTTGTGCCCATGTGCACACTCTCTTTTCCTCTAAATAAATAAGTAAATAAACAATTTTTTTAAAAAAACATAAGAATTCATTGCTGTATAAAATATTATCTTGTTTTGTCCCATTATCTGTTGAAAACAACTTATGTCTAAAATAGGTATTGTTACATAAAGAACCTTATTCTTAAAATGTAAAGGTATAATTAAGGACATATTAGTGAGGTGAAGCCATTTTTTAGACATAAATTCTAGAAGAGACTGAAAGATCAGGAACCATTAAAAATGTACATATGTAATTACCAAGAAATTTTTGGTGATATGTTATGGTAAATTATAAAATATTAAACAATTCAATATTTATAAGGTAAAATAACTTTCAGCACTTTTAGATTAGTAAGCTATATCAGAATAAAGGGTTGTATACTAATATTTTATTTTGATTATGAATTAAAAAGTTAAATAGAAATCCAGCCTACATCTTAGTTCTTTTCCATTCATTCATTCATCAGACTCTTTAATTTTAATCCTTAATATGGATCCATTGCCATGCTGGGTGCTGGAGTTAAAAAATGAATAAGGCATCATCCTTATTCTCAAGAAATTCTAAATATGTAATAGGAGTTAGCAAATAAAGCATATAAGCCAGTCTAGCCTGTCTTTTTGTTTGGGTTTGGTTTGGTTTAGTTTTTGTATATGGCTTATAAGCTAAGAATGGATTTTATATTTTTAAATGGCTGAGAAAAATCAAAAGGAGAATAATACTTCGTGGCACATGAAAATTATTTGAAGTTTAAGTTTCAGTGTCCATAAATGAAGTTTTATTGGAACACAGCTATACTCATTCCTGTATGTATTGCTTGTGGCTACAACAGTAGAGTTAAATAATTGCAACCAAAACCTTATAGCTTGTAAAGCCGAAAATATTTACTGACTGACCTTTTACAGAAAAGTTTGTCGACCCCTGGTCTTTTGGATAAGCCAGGTATCATTTTACACAGTCATTATCCATTTCTTTTCTTAATTATAATACTTCAAAAATAAGAATGCTCTCCAAGTAAAATGAAGGAGACATCCTTGACCTGTGTTACCAACTGTATGTTAATGATTCTCAATTTGTGACTTGTGAAAATCACTGAGAACTGACATTTAATACCTTCACCTAAAATTTAACATTGGACATTTTGACAGAAAAACGTCT